GATGAGCAGCAGCGCCAGCAGCAGGCGGGCGCCTCGCAGGAGATCCTTTTCGGTGTGTCTGGAGACTGTGCACAGGCCTCTGCTCTAATGGCGGATGCACGGCGAGACACTCCCTCGCTGGCCGAGACTGCCACATGACGTGGGTGCAGACCTGTGGTCGCTGACCAGGAGGGCAGGTCTCCAGTGACAGGCAACGTCCAGCTTGGTGTTCGTCCCCCTTCCCCGTGGCAAAAGACCTGCCAGCACTGGAAGACCTTGCTGGTGGCACAAGAACCGAGACACTCGAGATGCTGGATGGGGATGGAGAAAACATGCTGCAACTGGCTGCTTCTGCAGATGATCCTCATCCCTCCTCCATCGGCAACCCCTTCCCCTCCTCTCCTACCCTGGACGAGGACCGTTCTGTTGGGTTCTCCTGAAATTAGACGGTGTGATGGAACAACGTGGAGTGAGACAACAGGGAATGGTTGTAGGCACATACGCATACTACAAGTCTACACGTACTCGAACTTCTACCCATGTGATAGTAGTTGGGAACTTACAAGGATATCGACCCTTGTCGGCCTTCGCATGCGACGTCGAACGCTTCTCGTTCCCCCCCTCTCTACCATCCTATCTCTAATTGATCGTTTCTTCTGTCCTCTCCCGCCTCTCTCTCTCTCTGACTCTGACAGATCTTTTCTCCCCAACAGTTCACACACTACGTTCCTGTACACACGCACGCAGATCACACACGCGCACGGGGGGCGGGGGACGCGAGGGGAGGAGCGAGGGGGGTGCTGGCACTCCACCCCCTGGCCGCAGCTGTGCTGAGGCTGTGCGCCCCGGCGAGCAGGGGCTGTGCGTCCCGGCGAACAGGGGAAGAGGACGGCGAGGGCTGGCGGGGGCGAGCGGGGGGGGACGCTCGGGGGGGGAAACGGCTCAAGGGGGACAGCATCGATCTTGAACCGGAGATACGTAGCCGGTAGATCGGCGATGTGCCCCCGACAGCGACACCGCACGTAGATGGGCAGGGTGGGCTATGGGGCCCGTGTCGGCGACGGGTGGACGCTCAGGGGTCGATGCGCTGTCCCCTGAGGTACCCACACGTGACGCTGCCCCCGAATCAGGGGTATGAGGAATGGGGGGGCCGGGGAAGGAGCGGAAAGGCGGGGAAGTAGGGGAGAGGCGCCTCCTGCTCGGCCTCCAACGAGGCCCCCAAGAAGCCGCGCTCCAGACGCGGAGGACGAATCAGCAACAACCGCGCGCATGCAACGCGACGGGAAGCGGCAAGTAACATACACTCACACGACATCGGACGCCGCACATCTCCTCTTCTGGAGGTCGGCGGGATGACGTGAGCCCATTGGACAAGGGAAAGGCAAGGGAGGGGAGGGACGCGAGGATCGGGTGTGCGTTCGGGGGGGGGGGGGGGAAATCCGCCGACCCCTTGGGGATCATCGGCGTGTGAGATGCTTCCCCCTCCCCAAACCCCTCCCCCGGGAGCCCGGTCCGGTCGATTTGGAGTCAACATGGGGCGAAGAAGCGTGCGCCTTCCGCGCGCCTCTCGGGCCCGCGGTGCCAGCGGCCGTTCAGGGCCCGTGCAGGGCCGCTCTCGTGCAATATCCTCGATCACCCCCCTCCTTTTGCTTGCCCCAATCCCCCCACGCCCCCCCTTTGCCGTCCGCCCGAGACGGGGAGGGAGGAGGGGAGGGGACGGAGGGAAGAGGACGGGGACGAACGACCGAGAGGCCGAGGAGGGCCGAGACGGGCGCAAAAGCCTCTTGAGCAAGGGAGAACCCGAGATCCGACATGGCGACACAGTTGCGACCCCGCGGGCAATCACGGCGGGAACCCTGGTGCCGGGTCAGTCTGTGCGGGTCCCGGGCCCGACCCCGGGCGAAGCCGCCCAGCGAGAACAGATTGCCACGCCCAGATCTCAGGGGAGGCACGGGAGATGGGGGACTAAAACAAAAGCCATGCCGCTGCTCCATGGACCTCTCCCGGGGCGCATGCCGCCCGGAATCTCGAGGAGAGTCCACCCGCGGTGACGAGAGCTCTCCAAGACGGGCGGCGGCCTCGGCATCTCTTCCTCCTCTGGGGGAGGGGGACTGCCCACATCTTCCAGAGCAGAGGAGGCTTCAAGACTGTCCTAATCTTCCAGATCATGATCCTTCTCCTCCTCCCCCTCCTCCTCCTCCTCCTCCTGTCCTCGGGCGAGGGAGGGATGGACTGTCCTAATCTTCCAGAGGAGGCCTCAAGACAACACCAGGAGGCCTCGGCTGGCCTGCCGGGCCTGCGGGAGGTGCTCCGCGCGGGCGGGCTTCCTCTTGCGAGCTTGCTCTGCCGTGCGGTCGTGAGGATTGGTCGTAGTACAGTCAACCAGTACAGTAAGGACGCGCGATGAGGATGCGAGGGCCTTGGGCGCCCATTTCGAAGCTTTTTGAGCGGGGCGCGGCCAGCGAAAGCGGCGAAGGATGGACCGAGGAGGCAAGGATGCAAGGGTACCCTTGGGAAGGTTGCCCATCCTCCCTATGTGGGTTGACTGGAAAGATCGGCAGCGAGCAAGGGGGGGGGGAGTGAGAAGGGGCGCGCCCTCGCAGAAAGGCTCTGAAGTCCCCAGGCCTGCTGGGAGGTTTTCTGAGCCTTCCCCGAAGGCACAGACAACCTCTCTGAAGGCCGGAGGGCTTCTGAGAAGCCCCGCCGCCTTCTGAGAAGGCCTTCTCCTTGTCACCTCTACCCCTCGATCGCCGCCGAATGGGACGCACAAAGACATACTAATACTACATGTGCTCCTTGGAGGCGCGCGTCCGACCCGAACATATAGTATACCCATCTTGTAGTACATCGTTTCCCGAGCGGTGTGGCCAGAAACCGCCCGCCACGACGCATATACTGGAAGATTTCTTGGTGCGCGCGCCGTCCTGGGTGGGCGACGCACCTCCGGTAGAAGTATGTTAGGGTGACGCCGACCGAATTAGAGGCCTCCTAGATGGGGTCCGAGTAGATGGGGTCGAAGGATCGCGCCGAATCGCCAATGCATCGCCGATGCATCGGCAATGCATCGGCGATGCATCGGCGACGTCGGCGTGGGGAAACACAGTCTCCTCACCGAGCCGCATCGCCGATGCACCGCCGATGCATCGGCGATGCATCGGCGATGCGGTGCGAGCCTCCGACCCCATCTACTCCGACCCCATCTGGGAGGCCTACTCCTCCTCCTCCCCACCACCCCCTCCCCTCCCCCTCCTCCTCCTCCCCCTCCCCTCCTCCCTCCTCCTCATCCTCCTCCTCCTCCTCCTCCTCCCCCTCTCCTCCTCTCCCTCCTCCTCTCCTCCTCCTCCTCATCCTCCTCCTCCTCCTCCTCCTCCTCCTCGGTCGTGAGGGTTTGTCGCAGCAGGCGGGGGCGGGCGCGGGCTGCACCGCCGCGGCGAGGGCGCCCGTCGGAGGCCCGGGGGCTCCTCGTTCTGGCGCATCGCCTGCTGGAGCTGCTCGGCCAGGCGCCCGCTCTCCTGCGGGGGCGGGCGGGGAGGGGGAGGAGGAGGAGGAGGAGGAGGAGGGAGGAGGAGGAGGAGGAGGAGGGAGGGAGGGAGGGGGAGGGAGGGGGAGGAGGAGGAGGAGGAGGAGGAGGAGGAGGAGAGGAGGAGGAGAAGGGGGAGGAGGAGGAGGGGAGGGAGGAGGAGGAGGAGGAGGAGGAGGGGGGGGAGGAGGAGGAGGAGGAGGAGGAGGAGGAGGAGGAGGAGGAGGAGGAGGAGGAGGAGGAGAGGAGGAGGAGGAGGGAGGAGGAGGAGGAGGGAGGAGGAGGAGGAGGAGGCGGAGGAGGAGGAGGAGGAGGAGGAGGAGGAAGGAGAGGAGGGGGAGGGGGGGAGGAGGAGGAGGAGAGGAGGCGGAGGAGGAGGAGGAGGAGGAGGAGGAGGAGGGGGAGGAGGGGGAGGAGGAGGAGGAGGCGGAGGAGGAGGAGGAGGAGGAGGAGTAGGATGAGGAGGAGGAGGGGGAGGAGGAGCTCGGGAAGGGCAGCGACAGGGGGGTCCCGCCCGGGGGGGGGCGAGGCACCGACCTGGGATCGGCGACCAACCGCCGGCAGGCTGGCGGTGGGCTTCCCGACAGCGAGTCCGCACAGATCTGGGCAGGTGGGCGCTGTCCGGCCCCCATTCGGCGATGCGTGGGCGATTGGGGGTCCACGCATCCCCCCCCTGAGCCCATCGCCCCCTGTCGTTGCCCCTGACTCTTCTTGCACAAGCAAGCTGCTACCACATGGAACGTCGGATACGAAACGAAGCCCCATGTTTGCCCCATTCTGGTTCCAGAACGAATGATCTCTCTTCCCGGCTGGGATTATGATAGTCCTGGGGCCCTGAAAGAGACTGGCGCCATCGCCGATGAGGCCGATGCAAGATCTTCAGAGCTCGAAGGCCAGTGGCAACCTGATGATGGGCGGGCCGACTGATCCAGCATGGCAGGTCAACTGAGAACCGAGGACTATGTGTCAATCTTTCTGCCGTTGCAGCCGCGACACATCTCATTATTTTTTTCGGGCTTGTGAGATGATTGCAAACAAGTGCGCGTGGATTATAAATAGGAAGTGGGAAACTGTGGCTGACAATAACAAACTAATCGCCTTCACTGGCCCCTGGCCCAACGTGATTCGACTCGAAAACAAATGGTGCACCTAATATATCATCCTTCGGTGATGATAATCTTTGCGGGGACGGGATCAATTAGTCGATTGGAATTTGAATCGCGTCGGGTTGGAAGCCATATTGCTTACCAACATGTACGCCACTAGGTCGACATGTACTAACTTCTAACCCATTTAAGCCCATACTCATACAATTGTGTATATGTGTATACATATTTTCATGCATCGATCTAGCTAACTACCTCAGGATCTGTTCCTGCACATTTCTGCCAAAACGATGCAGCTCTCTGTCTCTCTCTCTCTCTCTGTATATCTCTCGTTCACCCGTCCATCTACTCATACCCCCAAGCAGTCCTTGAGCTGAGGGATTTTCACTTGTGCTCTGAACAACTGGACCTATGCGTGACACTTTTCTGGTGGCCGCTCGGATTCCTCAGGCGTTCTACGGTTGCCTATGGCTTCGCTTCGACTCTGTAGATATCACCCGCTGGGTATCTGTTCTCAAAGAACTGTATCTGTTTGTGGCGCCTTTTTTCTGGTGGCCGCTTGGATTCACACGGCCCCCTCTCTTAGACCCCTACGGGTTCTTATGGGCTTCTATGACTTCCCATCCAACTCGCCCTGTCTTCTCACACATTCCTAGCGGCCGCTTGGACTCCCATGCGCTTCGATGGACTCTTGTGGCTTTTCTCCTTTCGCTGGCCGTGTTTGTTGCATGTTTCTGGTGGTGGTTTGGATTCCTCCATGTTCCCATTCTATTCCGTTCTTTGCACTCTTTGCTGCACTCCTTCCAGCGGCATCTGGGGCTCCTGTATGCTACCATCTATTCTCCTACGGTCCTACGGTGTCATATGCGATCATGTTCCTTCCTCCCACTGCGACCCTCTGCAACACTTTTTCGGCGGCCGCTCGGATTCCTACTCATGATCCCATGGCGGCTTCTCTTCCGATAGCCGCCTGGCTTCCCCACGAACTCCGGTGGCGCTGGCTCCCGCCAGCCCTGCTGCAGGAAGTCTGTCCAGGCTTCGGGAACCCTGCCGCACCTCGAACGAGGTGACGCTTCGACCTATCCCGCGGCGCCCTCCGACCAGGATCCCGAGGCGAATGCAGCCGAGGCCGCGAGGGGCAGGATCGAAAAGGCAAACAAAAACGTGCAAACACTTCGACCCTCGGGCCTCCATCCTCGAACTCTGGTCCTCCATCGGGGGTGGTGGGCGGCAGGACGGGCTTTTGACCTCGATCCTCAATCGGAGGGGGAGGAGGAAGATTCGGAGGAAAAGGAGGTGGAGGAGCTTGAGCTTCAATGCAACGCCGCGAAATATCACAGCGGGAGCCCTGGACCTCGTCTTTGCGCGGCAGTTCTCGCGCCGGATCGAGCTGCCGGGGTCCTAGGACCCGAGCCCGGGCGAAGTCGCCCAGTGTTCAAAAATTGCGACGCCAAGATCCGAGGGTGGGAGGAGGACGAATAGTGTAGTGTTATGTCGGGCGTGTCCCCCTACAGGGGGATTTTCAACGAAAAATGAAGAATACCCAAAAATGTCCCCAAAATCTAAAAATATACTCAAAAAATAGTCACCAGACTATTTTTGGAGCATTGTTTGATTATTCTTGGGGTAATTTTTTGTTTTTCGTCGAAAACCCACCTGTAGGGGGACCCGCCCGACTTAGGAACAGCGGGAGGATGAGAAGGCCCAGGGAAGCCTCGCTCCTCGCTCGGGGACGGCAAGGCGGGCGCGCGCGCGAGCGCGCCTCCGCGGCAGCTTGCCTGGCGCGCTCGCTGTCGGCCAGCTGGCCGCCCAGCGACGCCGAGGCCTCTTCTTGGGTGCGGCGGCCGCCGGGGGAGGAGGAGGAGGAGGAGGAGGAGGAGGAGGAGGAGGAGGAAGAGGAGGAGGAAGATGAGGATGATGAGGAAGAGGAGAAAGAGGAAGAGGAGGAGGAGGAGGAGAAAGAGGAGAGGAGAGGAGGAGGAGGAGGAGGAGGAGGAGGAGGAGGAGGAGGAAAAAGGGGAGGAGGAGGGGGAGGAGGAAAAAGGGAGGAGGAGGAGGCGGAGGAGGAGGAGGAGGAGGAGGAGGAGAAGGAAAGGGAGGAGGAGGAGGAGGACGACGACGGAGGAGCAGGAGGGGGAAGGAGGGAGGAGTGAGGGAGGGGAGGATGAGGAGGGAGGGAGGGGTGGATGAGGGAGGGGCGGGAGGGGAGGGAATGTGAGAGGAGAGGGGAGAGGGAGGGGGGGGGGGGAGAGGGGGAAGGAATAGTGAGGAGGGGAGGCAATAGGTAGGAGGGGCTGACGAGGGAGGAAGAGGAGGAGGAAGAGGAGGAGGAGGAGGACCCTTGTAAACCAAAGACTTATCAACGATGTTGGAGTAAACCCTCCCTCCCAAGCTCCCTCTTGGCAGGCCCCTACAAGAGTTCAGTTCCACTGAGGGGTCCGCCTCGGTGGGAGACAACCCATTGAAGACCCTGAAGCATACCAAAACACCATTCTCGGGACTCCAACGCTGCGAATCAAGATGGCTGTTGCGTCTTGGCGATCCAGAATCGTGCACCATTTCTGGCACGTTGTCCATGGGAACCCTTGAAACTCTTGTGAATTTCTAGGAAAAAAGAAAAAGGTGCGCGGCGCTAAAACGAGAACCACATGTTAAAAAAGGACCACCCACAATCCGTGGAGCTCTTGTACACTTCTCAGAAGAATGTGCGCGGCGCTGAAGCGAGAACCACATTTTGAAAACGACCCGCCGTCAATCTGTGAAACTCTTGCAACTGTTCGAAATGACTGCGCGCGGCGCTACAGCGAGAACCACATTTCGCAAACGACCCGCCCTCAACAACGAAACTCTATGCAAATTAGAAACGCATGCGCGCGGCGCTAAGACGAGAACCACATTTGGGAAACGACCCGCCCCAAACCTGTGACACTTTTGCAAATTTGTGAGATGAATGTGCGTGGCAATAAGGCGAGAACTTTGTTTTGAAAACCACCCGCCCTCAATCCGTGAAGCTCTTGCGATTTTTTGCGCCGAATGTGTGCGGCGCAGAAGCGAGAGCCACATGTTGAAAACCACCCGCACTCCATTTGTGAAACTGTTGCCAATGTGAAGGCTTCAGGGTCATGAATGGTGAGAAAGTCTCAGGCGAAATGCCCGGCCCGCCCTTTCGACTGGCCTCGGGGTGCGACAGGGAAGAGTTATTCATAAGGAAACCGACTGGAGGAGGAGGAGGAGGAGGAGGAGGAGGAGGAGGAGGAGGAGGAGGAGGGGGAAGAGGGGGAAGGGATGATGGATGATACAATGCGGGTGCGGCCGCAATCATCTCTTGCATGAAACCCAGCCCTGAAACCCGCAGGCACGAGACGCAAGTGGGGGAAACCCAGAGCACTTTGAACGCAGCAGCTCCTACGGCCACGGGAAGCCGCCGCGCAGCGCGCAGAGCGAAGAAACCCAGGATATCCAGACGAAAAGCAATCGGTTTCTTGATGCGCGTCCACACTGCATGTGGAATGATGGAAGAAAAAGGAGAGGAGGGATGAGCTTGCCCTGTCTCTCCCTCATCCCCTTTTCCTTTCGGCTTCCTCCTGAATCCTCCCCGCCTTCTTCCCTACTGGATCCCTCTCTTTCGTTTCGCACAGCCCCAATCACCATAACACGTTGGCAAATCGGACTCAGCTACCGGGGGACCGGGGGCACTGCGGACAAATCGGCCGACGGGACCTGTTGTGACATGAAATTCACGATCGCATTCCGGAGTGGTCTTGCGTACAGCGCTGAAGGCCTCTGCGCGGGAGGGGAAGGAGGAGGAGGAGGAGGAGGAGGGGGAGGAGGGGGAGGAGGAGGAGGAGGAGGGTGAGGAGGAGGAGGAGGAGGAGGAGGAGGATCACGGCGTTGCAAACATTGAACTACAGCAAGGTCGGACAGCAACGGTAGTACCAGTGGGATGCGCTGCGGGGCTGCTTTTCAAGTCCGCAGATGCCGATCGTCCCTGCAGGCCGGCGTGGGCGACTTGGCTGTGGGTGGCAAGCAATCGCGTTGGATGGACGATCTTTAGATCGGTGGTTAAGCGCACTGGATGGATGGATGGATGGATGGATGGATGGATGGATGGATGGATGGATGGATGGTGTGTGTGTGTATGTCCGTAGACGAACAGAACATCAGGATTCCTCTTCATGGACGGCGTCTACCGCCGTAGCAATGTTGGACGTGTCAGCTGCTACCGCGGCTCGCTGTGACCGACAGCCTAAAGCGTGACAAGTTTGCAATTTGGGGATGTGAGACGGGCGTGGGTGCGTGATCGGATGGTTCGGGGGTGGGTGTCCTCCTTCTCCACCACCACCCCCTCCTTCTCCTCGAGGGCGGCATGAGGCGATCGTGAGGAAGGGGATGAATCTGCACGCATGCAGAAGTTTCCAACCTCCAGCACGGACAGGCTGCACAGCCGAGACGAGCCAGCGAGAGCAGCCCTTTCGCGTCTGCAGAGAAGACGGTGAGGGAGCGGAGGGGGATGAAACAGGAGGCGAAGCCGAACAACAGAAGCGAACGCGTCGCTACCTATACGAGAGCTCGATGTGCCCAGCAGAGGGCGGCCAAACAACGTTTTGACGGGTCGCTTCCGAACAACTTGCACGAACTAACGTTTCGGTACACCTCTGGCGTCGCGGTTGTCCCGTGGTGGCCAAAACGAACACATTAAAGGCAACTCGCACATCATGAAATCGGCCAAAGATATTGCAATCCACATCGCCTTGATCGACTCCTGGAGCGGACTGCAGCATCGCGCAAACAAAAAGATAAGCAAGCTCGCGGTGCATGCGACAGAACAACGTTTCAAAGATAAGGCGGGCCCAGAAGGCTCGCATGGGTACGATCTGAGAAGGAGGAGTGATGAGGGATCACGGTGGTTTGAGGATCATGATGATGGAGGGCGGACGGGTGAGGGTGAGGAGGGATGGACTATTCCAGTGATAGATGAACCAAGCTCATCCCGACTCTGAAGACAACGCTCCCAGAATCAAGGGGGTCGAGAGCCGTGTCCCTCCTCCTGGACTCCACCGAGGTATTCATCAGCGGGGAGCAAGAGCGAGGGCGTGGATGGCGAGTGTGGACAGAGGAGGGAGGAGGCGGAGGCGGAGGAGGAGGCGGCGGCGGAGGAGCAGGCGGAGGAGGACGCGGATGGGGCGCGACCAGGATCAACACTACGAACGGCTGGCGGGGTCCGACGTCAGGGGCGTAACTCTGATGAGCACCCCCCCTGCCGAGAAACAGTGGAAGACGTCGTCAGATGCCAGACGCCGCGGGCCTGCACTGCAACCGCCGCAGCGGCGGCGGCGGCTCCCCCGCTGGCCGCGCCGTCCAAATCCTCTGGGCACGGGCAGGAGTTCCGCAGCATCCGCCTGCTCTCTCGTTCTCCTACCTCTCTCCCTGCACCCCCCGCATCCTGTCCGCGATCAGCGCGCGAGGGTGCTGCAGCAAAACAACTGCAATCTTGACAAGACTGCTGGGGACCGGATGGGGCACCGCATCCCGCATGCCCACCCACTCCTTACACACGTCTTCCAACGCAGCACTGAAGTAACCAGGGGTGCACATGACACGGGGCCACGCCGAATGAGTGTAGGCCATGGCACTTTGCTCGTGACGGTGCCCACCAGTCGTGCTTTCTCAGGTTAGCTAAGGGACGAGAAGCTGGTCCTCAAGGAAGACGAGGCGCGGGAGGAATGCGACAAGCAACAACATCCGCCGACACCCGCCCGCGCACGCACGACCCAGCTCGGTGGCCGTGCGCCCCGCAATTCTGGCGGTCAGGCGCGCGCGCGCGCGAGCGAGCCGGCGCCTCGGGATGGAGGAAGAGAGGACGACAGACAGAGAGAGAGAGGTTTACAGAGAGAGGGAGCGGCCCGACTGGGAGGCGGCCCATCTCAGCGCTGCCATCAACCACGGACGGGCGTCCGCCTGGGTCATCTGCGGTGGCGGGCTCAACAAGGCAGCCTCTGGGAGCGGCCAGCAGCACGGCACGAGCGCGGGACGGTCGGTCGGGAGCCCCAACACATTCACGCAGACACTCGCACACCATGACCTTTCGGACGCGAGGTTGAGGCAGCCCATGACTTAGTAAACATATCTTTTCGAATGCTTGCCCAATCGTACTTTCGCCTGATTGTGGGCAAACTTGCAATTGTCTTGCTTGTTTCGCAGGCCAACCATTGCCTGGATAACTAATGGTCGACTGGTTGTTTGATTTGCTTGTTTGTTCGTCCGTCTTCTCTTTGAGCTTCCCGCCCAAACCGCTCGAGTGTCTTGCCACTGCAAAAACCACCCTCGCCTTCCTCAAGATTATCATAATCGCCCGTTCCGCCGTTTCCTCCTCCTCCTCCTCCTTCTCCTCCTCTCTTTCCTCCCCTCAAACTCCTCACCCCTCCTCTACCCACCACACCGAAGATAGTTTCTTCGAACAGCGAGTCCGAGCGACATGGTGTGCTGAATTGGGAGGGGCAGAGGCAGGAGTGGGAGTGCGCAAAGGCAGGCGACGAAAGTGGCGCCGCATCAGGACAACATGACGTCAGACGCTGCACGCCCCGAGGGGGAAGGACGAGGAGGGACAAGAGGAGCAGTATAATACGATCGGGAGCATGAGAAACGTACGCTTCGCGACCGTGCCTCTGGGCACGGAGTGGGCCTGCCCTCAGGATCTAAAGCAAGGCTAGGATCGGGCTCAGAGCGTTCCGGAACGCTCTGGAGCGGCCGCGGCGCCCAATCCATCCTCCAAACCCGCCGATCCTCCGAGATTTCGAGTTATCCCGATCCGATTTTGTCCCGATCTTCGCGTCGATTTAGGATCTTCGCCCAACCCCTGGAGCCTCGGTCCTCAGCCCTGCGGAGCCCTGAAAAGGCCCGCACCCCCAAATTCCAGAACTCGGCGGGGCTTCCCGCGTGCCCCATGGGCTCCGGAAGTGATGCCGCATGCCTTTCTGGGGGCCCGAAGGGGCCCCCAAGACGGGCCAAGCCAAGAGGGCCCGAAGAGGCCCCCAAGACGATCCAAGAGGGCTGGAACGTTTATGTCTGACCCTGTATCTTCATTTCTAGCAGAAGCCATCGCCATGGACGAGGCTCTTCAGGCGTTGGCGCAAATACTGTCCTTTCGTGCGCGGCCGTTACGAGGTGCCTTGACACCTCACGAGTGACTTAGGCTTTGTTGGGAAAAAAAGACGATCCAAGAGGGCCCCGAATCGCCGAAAGAACGTCCCAAGACGCCCAAGATGGCCTCAAGTGGGCCCAAGAAGAGCCCTCCCAACAGGCCTCCCAAGAGGTACAAATCATCTGTTCCAAATAATTGAAGGACTTTGTGGCGTCCTCGCCTTTTCGGCTTTCCGACGCTCCTGGACGACCCAATAGGCCCCCAAGACCACCCCAAAAGGGCCAGAAATGGTTCCAAGCGGACCCCAAGACGGACTAAGAGCGCCCCAAGACGGCCCGAGATGCGCCCAAGACGGCCCCAGATGGCCCCAAGATGGCCCCAGAAGGGGCTCAAGAAAGGGAGCACGAACCGAAAATCCGAGCCCTCCGCCCCAAGAGGGCCCCACAGAGCCCCAAGAGGCGCCAAGGAGGCCACAAGAGGTACCCAAGAGGCCCCCCAGCAGCCTTAAGAAGCCCCAAGAGGCTCAAAAGAGGACCCAAGAGGCTCCAAAACAGCTCCCAAGAGGCCTCCACACTGCCTCCAAGAGGCCCCCCACGAGATCCCAACGAACATCCAGTGGGGTCATACCCACAACCCAAGCACGGTGGCGGGATGGGCCGAAGGCCATTCGATCCGCCGCCCCCTGCTTGCAGGGGTGCACGGCGTGCTGGATGAGCTGTCTGGTCAGGTTTTGGTTTTGGTTCTTTTTCTAAAAGAACTCCCCAGTGGGCTTCGGCCCGTCCCGCCGGCCACCCTTCCCAAAATCCCTGTCAATGCCTTTGTTGCCCCAACTTGGCCCAAGATGGCCTCCAAGACGGCCAAGATGGCCCAAGATGGCCTCCAAGATGCCTCCCAGACGGCCAAGATGGCCTCCAAGACGGGTAAGATGGCTCCAAGATGCCTCCAAGACGGCCCAAGATGCCCTCCAAGACGGCCAAGATGGCCCCAAGATGCCTCCAAGATGGCCCAAGAGGCCTCCAAGACGTTCTCCAGGAGAGCCCGAAGAGGCCAAAATCATTGGTTTTCCTTAGGTTTTTGAAGGTTTTTGCGTTTTCTTCTTTTCGGCCTTCCGACGGCCCAAGAGGCCCCCAAGATCGCCCAAGAGGCCTCCAAGAAGGCCCTATGACGGCCCAAGGGCCCCCCAAGACGGCCCCAAGAGCGCCCCAAGACGGCCCAAGAGGCCTCCAAGACGCCCAACATGGCCTCCAAGACGGCCCTGAAGCGCCCCAAGAGGGCCCCAAGACGGCCCAGAGAGGCCCCCAAGACGGCTCCAGACGGCGTCAGACGGACCAGGAACGCCCTAAGACGGCCAAAGAGACCCCCAGGAAGCCCCCAAAGGCCCCCAAGAGGCCCAAGGAGGCCCCCAAGATGCCTCCAAGAGGCCTCGAAGAGGCCCCCAAGAAGCCCCCAACAGACCCCAAGGGTGCCCCAAGAGACTCCTAACAACCCTCATCCTCCTACTCTATTTCTTCCTCTTCCTCTTCCTGTTCATAATCATTCTCTCCCATGTGTTCCCCGAAAGCTTTCCAAACCGACTCGGGGAACTCATGGTCCGATAGCTTGGCCAAGCTCTAGTCCAACTTTCGGCCACATCGGCGTTTCCAAAAAGGCAGGGGGCGGCGGTGATTCGCCGTAGGCGTCTTCGATCCGCCGCCCCCTGCTTGCAGGGGTGCACGGCGTGCTGGATGATTCAGGTTTTGGTTTTGGTTCTTTTTCTAAAAGAACTCCCCAGTGGGCTTCGGCCCGTCCCGCCGGCCACCCGTAAGTTTCACAAAATCCATCTCTCAATGCCCAAAAACGGCCGTTTCGCTCGGGACATCCTCAACAAATCGCGAAGATGGCCCAAGATGGCCTCCAAGTCCGCCCGAGATGGTCCAAGACGGCCTCCAAAACGGCCCAAGAGAGTCCAAGACGGCCCAAGACGGCCCAAGAGGCCCCCCAGAGGCCTCCCAGACGGCCCAAGAGGCCTCCAAGAGGTCCTCCAGGAGAGTCCGAAGAGGCCAAAATCATTGATTTTCCTTTGGTTTTTGAAGGATTTTGGCATTTGCGCCTTTTCGGCTCTCCGACGGCTCAAGACGGCCCAAGAAGCCCCCAAGATCGCCCAAGAGGCCCCCAAGAGAGCCCCATGATGGCCCAAGTGGCCTCCAAGATGGCCCCTAGAGGGCCCCAAGAGGGCCCAAGAGGCCTCCAACACGCCCAAGATGGCCTCCCAAGACGCCCAAGATGGCCTCCAAGACGGCCCTGGAGCATTCCAAGCGGGCCCCAAGTCGGCCCATAGAGGCCCCCCAAACGGCTTCCGACGGCTTCAGACGTGCCAGGAACCCACCAAGATGGCCGAAGTTGGCTCGAAGCTGGCCCGAGACGGCCCAAAAAGCCCCAAAGATCGCCCAAAGCTTGCCCAAGAGGCCTCCAAGACGGCCAAGATGACCTTCAAGATGCCCACGTGTTCCCCGAAGGCTTTCCAAACCGATTCGGGGAACACGTGGTCCGATAGCTTGGCAGGTCTGGCCTCAACGTTCGGCCACATAGGCGCTTCCAAAAAGGCAGGGGGCGGCGGTGATTCGCCGTAGGCGTCTTCGATAGGAATAACGGGAACATCATGTGGGACAGCATGTGGTGCGACGCGTTCAGTGCAAGAAAGGAGCGAGTTGCAGGGCAGCCGCAGCATTGCAAGGATGTGCGCTGGAGGCCGCCTAAGCGAGAAAGAAAATAAGGGAGAAGGGAGGGGCGAAATACGATATGCGTAACGCAATTCGACGAATGGCAGGTAAGGCACAGCCTGGCAAGGAGATGCTCTGGAGGTCACCGAAGTGAGGAGAGAGGAGTGCGGGAGGAGCCAAGGTGGAGCGAGGACGAGGGGGAACACAGTAGAAGGAAGGATAAAAGAGGGCAGCTGTGCGTATGGAACAATACGGCACGTTCTCGCGATCCATCATTCGGCCGTTAGGCACCCTGCGGCTGTGTCGGCTGGCCTGCGCTGGAAGAGAAAAGGCAGGTGACGGCGGCACGCTTCGGAGGAGGGGGAGGCTTCCCCTCCTCTCTGTACTCACCCCACCTCCATCCTCTCCTTCCTCACCCTCGCCTGAGGTAGGGGACCACATGTGAACCCTACCCCTACCCCCCACGATTCCTGAGGGGGAGGGTGGGTTTCACGTCGCTCGGGAGCCTCCGAACGAAGTGAGCCCCGCTCTCCCCCTCAGAGAATAGGGGTAGGGTTCGCATGTGGTCCCCTATGAGAGCGAATGGATGGGAGGGGGACCGCCTCAGGGACTCGCCATCGCTCGGACGTCCATTCCCTGTGTTTTTTTTTCGGTTTCGTGCGTGGACTTTTCGCCAAATGATTAAGGATGCTCCTCGATGGTCCTCGCCGAGGAAAAAAACAAACACGTCCGAGCGATGCCAGGGGGAAAGCAGCAACCACCTGGAACCCACGACACCACGCGGGCAGATCGGAGACAGGCCCCTCGAGGGTGCAACCGCGCGCTCCCGGGTGGGGAGGGAAAGTGGGCAACTCGAAGGTCGATGCTCCCCGCCCTGGGCCAGTGCCCCCCCCCCGCGCCGTCGCCCCCGCTGTTTTTTTGCGCCCTGAGCTCGAGACTTGGGCACCCCGCAGAGCTCTCCAGCATGCCGGCGAGTTCGACACTGCCATCCTCCCGCCCCCCGGCCCCCTCCCCTCCTTCCCCCTCCTCGCCCAAGGGGGAGGCGAGGAACCGCCGCCCAAAGGAGAGGCGGAATCGCCGCCGACGGCCCGCATGCCCGCGGCAAGCCGTGCGCGGCGGCGCCCAGGCCGTCACGCCGGCCCCCCCCCCGCAGCGGGCGGCGAGCGTGCTCCTTGGCCCCGTCGACCACCTCGGCCACCCCAGTCAGCTCGAGCGAGGAGGAGCGATTCAGGAGTGAGAAGGAGGGGGGGAGGGTGAGGACGTGGCAGCCCAGAAGGCAGAACAAATCTGCGGCGCTCAGCAAAGCGCGGGCCAAATGGCCCAAACCAAGGGCACACGTGTACGAAGAGGAAGCAGGCACAAGCTGAATCCGTCCTCCGGCCTCCTATTATTGGCTAACCCCCAATAGCGCCGAAACGTCGTGCCTTAGGGGGGAAACCAACAAATAGGAAGCAACGGGCAGGACCGCAGCATTGGACCAGCAACCGCAACCCCGCAGGGTGAGGTCGCCCCCTGGCCCCCTTCCCCCCCAGCCAACAAGCGGGGCAGGAGGAGGCCCCACCAGGGGCGGGGTTGGTCAAGTGCTGGGCCTACCCAGCAAGACAACACGGAGCCGGACCCAGCGCCAGAACCTCATCATAACACGGCCAGCAATTTGCCCGCGGCAATTAGCATTCCAACCAACGTGGTTGGACACTGCCTCCGCATCATAATCGGCAGTGCACCTCATACAGGAGGTGCCACACGGCGCCCAGGCTGCACCGCTTGGCCGCGGTGGCAGGGACTTTAAAAATACCCTGGCCTGACGGCGAGGAGGGTGAGGAGGAGGAGGATGGGGATGAGGATGGGCAGAAGGGAGTGGAGGAGGATGAGGATGAGGAGGAGGCCAAGTAAGAGCCAAGATGTACCATGTAGCAACACACTCTCCCGTCCTAGGACCCCCTCCACATCAGTCGCTGCAAGCCTTTTTTCTCACTGCGCGAAGCACTCCCCTTGAAAGACTAACTGCCGCCCCATGGGCCCGAAATTCATGCGGGAGCTCCGTTGTGAAAGAAACCGCCCTTCATCTTCGAGCTAGAAGGAATAGGGCAGGGTGGGGTTCCAAGTTCTAGAAGGTGCCAAACGACAGCCCTCCTCTGAGAAGGAACGGCCCACTGTCCGTGCAGCAACTGCGCATGCCAACATCTGGTAATAACATACAACATATCTGAGGCGATCACGCAATTTTGGGAAGGAACCACCCTGCCCCTTCTCCTCATGCGTTCCCTCCTCGTCCTCAACCTCTCCTCCTGATCATCCACTGGTTTCCGCTCATGCATGCTCGCCCTGCTTCTCCTGCTCCTCCTCCTCCAGCCCACATCACCCTCATCCTCCCCCCACTTCATCCTCCCTCCCTCCTCCTGAGCATCCTCATCCCGCATATCCTCATCATCCTGCTTCTCACCCTGCACCTGCTCATCCTCCTGCCCCTCCTCATTTTGAGTCTCTTCCCGAATTGGTCGGGGAGACCAATGCTCATCCTCACCCTCCTGCGGCTACTCCGCTTCTCCTTCGTTCCTACTCCTTGCCCTCATTGCACTCCCTGTCCTCCTCCTACTCCTCCTCCTTCTCCTCCTGCTCCTGCTCATCCTCCTCCTCTTACATCAATCTTCCTTACAAGTTACGCCCCCCTGTCGCACCACCAAACGAGTCCGCAGGTCGGTCCGGGCGTTCCGCTTGAAACTGCAATACATTATACCATCCTGAAGCTAAATATGTCAACAGCTACACGGATGGAGGGCCGGACGTTTTCAAAATGCGGTTCTCGTTTTAGCGCCGCGTTTTTTTTGTTGTTGCGTTTTCGAAATAAATTCTGCAGCTGCACGGATGGAGGCCAGTACGTTTTCAAAATGAGGTTCTCGCTTAAGCCTTCTCAAGACACCCCACCACACTTGTAATGTTGCACGAGAAGCAAAGCAAACATGAGTAGAAACTGAAGGAAGCTGATCAAGATGATGACGATGGGCAAGAGGAAGAGGATAAACTTGAAACACAACACGAAGAGAAACAAGGCGCGTACGACTAGATGCCGGAGGACCCCCACGTGGAGGCAGAGGAAGGGATGAGGATCGGACGGAGTTGTCAGGCCGAGAGCTGCGCTAGCACCCTCTTCTCCTCCTGCTGCTCCCCTCCCCTCCCCGCCCCACACCCCTCCACTCCTGTCGGTGTCACTCCTACCATCTGTTCCTGTTCACCTCTGTTCCCCTCCCTTCCTCTCCCCTCCCCCTACCCCTCCAATCCCCCTTTCCCCTGCTACCCTCAACCCATCCTCCACTTGCCCTCCCTCCATCTTCACCGTCTCCAAGCTCTGCAGACGTGACCGCCTCTGGTTCGATGACTACGATGATGATGGTGATTGATGGCAATGATGCTTATGCTGTTTATGATGATGTTTATGGCTGTGATGCGCCGAGCTCTCGCAGAGGCCGACGGCAACTTCAGCCCGCACGTAGCATGCCGTCGATCGCGGTAAGGATGATGCGTACAAGCTCCCTGGCCCACCTCACGTAGAAACTCCCTGACTTCATGTGTTGCGCACGCACTTTCAACCTGCGGTGAGGTGCGCCGTGATACCTGAGTTCAACCTCGCTCATAGGCTCGAGGCGCATAAGGAAACCGCCTGGGCACTGAACCGAGGGGGGGAATCAACCTGATGACCGGAAAGGGCGGGGCCTTTGCGACCAAGACGGATTGAGGAGGAGGGGGGGCACGAGAAAGAAATCGACAAACTCTGATGGTCACATCTCTTGGCCTGATTCGTCCAGCAATCGAGTCGGGGCAAAGGTCGCCCAACCATGTACAGGGGGGGGACTGCCCTGAAGTCCAGCAGGGAGCACCAGTACGAGACGCACCACACCACGGACGAGCAGAAGTAATGGAAACTATGGGGGAAGGGCCATGACCTCCTACTTGAGTGTCGGTGCCTCCTGTCTTTGAACTTGTGACAAGAACTCGCAACCTTGGCAATTGGAGGAGCGCATTCCGCAGTACCTCCACCTGCACATCCAGCGCGGGCAACTAGGCCCTCCGCCACCATCCGTTCCTTCTCCAGCAGTTCTCTCTCCCTCTCCACAACGACCAACCTCTCCTTCAGCTTTACGACCTCGGTGTCCTGCAGAGAGGAACACGCAAATAAATTGGAGGAGGCACACATTTCCGCCTCCGTGCTTCTCGCACGTAATGGAGTGCTCTCAAGTTCTTGATGGTCCTAACCAAGTACGAATAATAAAGGCCCCGGCAGTGTGTAGAGCCAGAACCATTATGACAGCGACTCTCGTAGACTCCTGGGGATTGGCGCGTAGCCTTCTTCGAAGCCTGGAGCATGCCACCCTGGGCTCCAAGGAGAACTTACGACCATTACAAGGCAGAGCTGGCACAAGGCGCGTGCGCCCCGCTGGAAACCCGACGGCAACCATTCGCCGCTGACCGCGTGCATCCAGATTCCGCTGAATGAGGTCGCGGCAGAGGTGGCAACCTTTCGATTATTCTTAAAAGGCAAAAGACGGTATCCGCCACCGTGCCTGCTCAGTGGGCATGTTAGAATGCTCCTTTGTTGTCTGGTGAGGTTGTTTAGTGTTTCCTAGGGCCGACACCCCCTCGAAGCACGCATCAATAGAACATCACTCCCTCTCTCTGGAGCCGATGTTCGGCAATCATCAACACCATATTACATATACAGCAATAAAAAGCCGACCCCCCCTCCTGACGGGGGTCGAAACAGGCCTCCTGACGGGGGCCAAAGCTGGCCCCCCCGAGGGGCGCCCGAGAGGCCCCCTAAAGGCACCAAAGACGCCCAAAGAGGGTCTGAAGATCGCCAAGGAACCCCCAAGACGTCCCAAGAGGCCTCCAAGATCCCCCAAGGCGCCCGCCCCTAGAGGCCCCCAAGATCCGCCAAGGAGGGGCCTAAGACGCCCCAAGAGGCCTCCCAAAGAGCCCCCCAAGAGCCGCCAGGAGGTCCTCAAGAGACCCCGGGAGATCTCCTGAAATGCTCCGAGAGGCATCCAAGAAGCCTGTGGCCTCGGGGGCTCCCCGAGCTCTCCAAATGATGTCATGCTCCCCCGACAAGGGCAGTTCCCTGGGCATCGTTCCTGGATGGACTGCTAGGGTTAGGCGAAGCGTTAAGAATTCAAACTTCTTCCTGTTACGCTGAGGCTGAGGCACGGTGGCCGGGTTTGTCGCAAGCAGCTGGATGAAACTAGCTGTTCTGCCATCAGGGACGCCTGTCCCAGAGCGGCTGGGAAGTTCCCCTACGGTGGCAAGTGGGGGTAGCGCACTCCTGGTCGGGGAACAACTTACCCTACACCGTTCTTCACTCAGTGATATTTCCCAAGCGGTCCATACACTCAATGGCTTATACTTGGTCCCCACGAGACTGGCCCTGTGCAGAGCCATCGGTCGTTCTGGTCGCTCCCCTGTGGCTCGTGCCCTGTGCGCTGGTGCCCTGTGGCGGACCTTCGGCGTCCCAGCCAGCCGTTCCCGATCCATGCCATGTGGCTGGTGCCCGCTGGTCGGTGCCCTGTGCGTCGGCACCCTCGGTACCCTGTGGTGCCCCGCACGCTTCGAGACCCATCGATTGCGCCCCACCGACCGCACCCCACAGATCGGACCACGGACATTGCATCTCGCCATCGGTTGCCGGGGGGCACTGCTCGAGGCCCCCGCGCTGGAGCTGTGTGGTTGTCACTGTGAGCAGCGCGCACCATTCACACTGGTACTCAGAACAACGACGACACTGCAGCGGCCGCGGCGGCAACGCCTGATGCTTCGAAACCTGCCAGTACCACACACACACGTGCATGTCGTTCAAACCAGCCAGCACTCCTCTTCTCACTACTGTGGCGCTCCCCGCGAGGAGGACGCCAACTGATGTAAGGTGTCGATTACAGTCCTGGGCTTGACCTAAGGAACCCAAACTAAAGAAAGACGAGGCCCCTTTTTTCCATGAGTTAAACTTCGATTTCCGATCGCAAACATAAGGAACACCTGAGGCAAGCTGCGAAACACTTAAGGAACGCGGAGCCCCTCCCCAACGAAAAGGGTTCCTTCTTCAAGGCCCCGACTGTAATGAAAGAATGCGGGGGGAACGATTGACAAGATAGCTTCCGCATCGTCGGCATCCGCTTCGCTCCGGCTCCGCACGGCCCGTGGACCGTCCAGGCGCACGCCCGAGGAGGGCGGGGGGGACCGATTCATCCTGGGCGCCGCCGCGTGAGCAGGACTCTCGGCAGTCTCTGCATCCTCATCCCGCATACAGTCGAGGCCAGTCCACAAGACACCGTCCACAAGAAGCCCAACCCTGAGACCCCAGGACGTGCACGGACTTTCGGTGTGGGAGCGTCGCGCTTTTCGCAGCGAAAGCATCGAAATTCCAAGAATCCCAGGGCACCCCGGAGGCAAGCAGGGTGCTTCTTGGCACGGGCCCCCACTGTGTGCATCCACGCAGATCCTAGCCAGGCCAATCCTGGGCCCAGGATCGGTGTGCACCCCCTGCTGGCTTGGCCAGGATCGGTGCAGGTGTACGGTTGCCGCCCTCCGAGGAGGAGGCAAGCGAGGACAGGGAGGACGGCGGGCGGAGAAAAAAGATTGTGGACAGGATTGGCGAACTCAGCGATGACGTCAGCGTGACCGCTCGAAGGTCCGCGCAGATGTCGCGGATCGGCTCTGGACCCCCCTGGCGGCCGCCCCTGGCGCGCTCCGCGCGCCAGGGAGGGGGGTCTAGCGCCACAATCCAAGCATTCTCCGCGCACCGCCGAGTGGCTGTGCTCGTGTGATCCTGTGCCCCCCGAAGGACAGCCAGGACGGCGCCCGGGAGGGGCCGTCGGCGGAAGGGCCAGGCCCGCGGCTCTGGGCGGAGGAGAGCAGATGAGCCAGGGCGGCCGCAAGGGATGGGCGGGCGGGTGGGTGGGGAGCAGCCGCGCGCAACCCGTTTTCCGTGCCCTCCCGGCTCCGGTTTCCTGGCGCCGCCCAGCGCGGGAGGCGCCAAGCCTATCGAGGGATGCACCCAGCGGCGGGGCCGGAAGAGGCAGATGTCGTGCCCTTCCCCGCTCCCGGTCCCCCTCATCCGACCCGACAGGGGGCTCCTCCCGAGGGCGAGGAACGGGACATGGAGATTGATGGATCGGATGGGATCGATCACCAAGGCCGCGCTAAAGGCGGCGTTAGTTCATCTACGGTGATGTCGAGAACATTTTTTGTTTGCAACGCCGAGTTCGCGAAGAACAAACGGGAGGACATCGCAAACCACACTTTCCTACATCCCAGATGCGCGACTGTGTCGAGCAGAAACGACACGGCGAATTGTAGGAGAGTGCGAACCACGCTCTCCTACAATTGGCTTGGCCACGAACCAACCCCACCTGCAACACTGAGACCTGCAGCGCCGTTGCCCACATCCCCGAGAGCGTGCGGGATCGGGCGAGCGGGCTCGTCCAGAACCGCAGCGCCGCCTGGGGCATCAAGCCTGCCAGAAAGAGGAGGTAACCTGAGCCTGAGAAATCTGCCCGGCGGGCGAAAAACACCGCGACCCCGACCAACCACCCTGTAGGACGAGGGGAGGACATGAGGGGCAACGTAGGGGGGGGGGGCTCGGCTCAGGGGGGGAACGTCGACCTGGAATCGCTGATTCATCGCCGATCGATCGGTGATAGGCCCCCCACACCGAGTCCCCACGATCCTGGGCGGGGTGGGCTATCGGGCCCCCATCGGCGATCAATGGGCGACCTGGGCGTCCCCAGTGGCATTCGGGGCATAACTCGGGCCTTCCGCGGCCGTCCGGGTCGCACAGGGCGCCCCTGGAACGCTCTCGGCGGGGCGCACCCACTGGAAGGCACCCCGAGGCTGAAAGCCGAAGCGACGAGAACCCGCGAGCGCGCTCGAAAACCCCTTGGACCTGAGATGCCCCCCCTGGGCCTCGAACCTCGTTGCCCCTGGTGAGAGGAGAGGCCCCACCTCCTCGCCCCTCCTCTGGCGGCGGACGGCGCGGCCGGCGGCGTCCTTGGCTCGGCCCTCGGCGAGCGCCTGGGCGCCGGCACGGGCCCCTCCTCCCTCGTCCCTCCATCTCTTGGAGCCCTCTCTTCCCTCCCTCCCTCTGCCCCTCTTCCTCCTCCTCCTCCTCCTCCTCCTCCTCCTTCTCCTCCTCCCTCTTTCCTGCTCCCCTCCCTCTCTCCCCTCTCCTCTCTCCTCCCTCCTCCCTCCTCTCTCTCTCTCTCTCTCTCCCTCTCCTCTCACCCTCCTCCTCCTCCTCCTCCTCCTCCTCTTCCTCCTCCTCCTCCTCCTCCTCCTCTCCTCCCCTCCTCCTCTCCTCCTCCTCCTCCTCCTCCTCCTCCTCCTCCCCCTCCTCCTCATCCCTCCCTCCCCCCCCTCCCTCTCCCTCCCTCCCTCCTCCCTCCCTCCCTCCCTCCCCTTACCCTCCTGTCCCTCGTTCCTCGCCCCCCCCCTGTCCTCGTCCTCTCCTCCCCTCCTCCTCCCTCCTCTCTCTCCCCCTCCCTCCTCCCTCCCCCTCCTGCCTTCTCCCTCCTCCCTTCTCCCTCCGTTCCTGCTCCCCTCCTCCCTCCTCCCTCCTCCCTTCTCCCTCCTTCCTGGCAGTGCCCTGCGCAGTCGCGCGGGAGGATCCCGGACCACTGCCCGTGGCGCCGAACCCGGCGTTGCCCGGAGTGGTCAACTGTTGAAGGGGCCAAAGGATGCGCAAATAAATAAACACAAAACATACATCCCAAGATTCCCAATATTTTCCGATATTTTCTGGCTTTCCGTTCCCCCCCACTTCCCATATTCTCCGGTGAATTGCCGATCAATAGTGTCTGTGTGTTTGTCCCCCTCCTGAGATGCCCGGAGCGGTCAACCGTGAAGTGGACCGCCGGACCGCTGCCCGGACCGCTGACCCTGCGCTGCCCGGGCGCCCCGGTGCGCGGCGCAGCCGCGCAGCGGCAGAACCCGCGCCGACCCGCCGCCTGCGCACCGCACCCGCGGGCGCGGATCGAAACCCGTGGCCGGCGCGCGGCGGCCGCCTGCAGGCGTCGGGCTCGCCAGGGCGGGGGGCCGCCCCCGCTGCTGCAGTGCAGGGGCGCGCGGCGGCCGCCCGCGGGCGCCGGGCCCGCCGCGGCGGCCCGCCGCGCCGGCGGAGAGCGGCGGGGCCCTGCGGCGGGCGCCGCCCGTGGGGAGGCGGCTCCGCGCGCCGCCGTCGACGAGACGGGGACCCATTGGGCGCCCGAGTTCTCCGGGTAACTCGGGTCCAGGGCAACTCGGCTCGGATCCCCGAAAAAGCGAACCCGAGTTGGCCCTGACCCGAGTTACCCCTGATGATTCGGGGCTCTGAGGGGACCTCCTCATGCGCCTCGATCCGGTGTGTGGCGCATATGGGCTAAGGAGGAGGAGGAGGAGGAGGAGAGGAGGAGGAGAGGAGGAGGGGAGGAGGAGGAGGAGGAGGAGAGGAGGAGCCCGGCGGCCCGCAGCGTGCCAGAAAGCAGCGCCCCGCTGGGGAGGCCGGCGCCCCCCCGCGCTGTCGCCTGCGGGGGGGGGGGGGGGGGGGGGGGGGGCCCTCGCGCAGCGGGGCCCGCCGTATCGGCGGAGCTGGGGGGCGGGGCGGGGCCTCGCAGGGCCCGGCGAGAGGAGCGGTGGCTCGGCCCGCCCGGCTCGAAGCTGCCCCGGCCCTCCCGGGAGCCAGCCTGGGCGGCTCTCGGCGCGGGGCCTGCCGTGGCGAGGAGGGACCCTCTGGCGAGGCCCCCGCAAGAAAAGAGAGAGGAACGCCAGGGATGGCCACCGCTGTCTGGGCCAGCACTCCTCCTCCTCCTCCTCCTCCTCCTCCTCCTCCTCCTCGCCCTTCGCTGGTGCGCGACCCGCTGCAGCTCCAACTGGGACCCGTGGGCGGGCGATCGCCTCAAGAAGCGTTCGCGCCTAGGCCACCATGGCAGCAGAGGAGCTGCTGCCATGCACCCTTCGTCCCCGTAGGCCCAACGCCTCCCGAGCACTGAGGAGATGGACGGACGAGACGTCGCCTCTTCTCCTCCCCTTTCACGCCTATGCATTAACTATCACTCCCCGTCCCTGTGCCTCCCTCCGTCCCTCTCCCCGTCCCCTCCCCTCCCCATCCCGCTCCCCTTCCTGAGTCTCCCTCCTTATGCTCATCCTCTCCTGGGAACCCTTCCCCCTCCTTGCCCCCACTCGCTCCCTCTTCCTCATGCCTTTGCGGCGCGCAGAAATAGGGAGCCCACAAAGGACGTACGCGCCCACCTATGTACATGAACACGGCCCCTCGACCCGCGAGACCGGCCGCGTTATACGAACATTTGCGCAAGTCGTACTCTCGAAACAAGCGTGGATTCATGTACGTGTACGTCCTTCTGTCGCTCCTGAAGAAACGGGGGGAAGGGGGGCCGGCTTCTTAGGAGGAGGCCGCTTCTTAGAAGGCGTGGGCCTGACATCCACAGATAAGGCCTGCGACGGGGGGGCTTCGAGGAAGCCTTGCCCCTTCCCCCTGCCCCCCTCGTGCGCGTGGCCGATCGTGCGGCCACCCCCGCGCCGTGCGGCGCGCGCCCTTTTCTCTTGCGCCGGTCTGCCCGCGCGGAGGGAGGGCGGAGGTTTGGGGGGGGGGAGGGGGGGAACGCCTGGAGGAGCACGGGAAGGACGCGGCTGGGGAGGCGGGAGGATTGGGGGAGCGGAGAGCGCGAGGAGGAGGAGGAGGAGGAGGAGGAGGAGGAGGAGGAGGAGGAAGGAGGAGGAGAGGAGGAGGAGGGAGAGGAGGAGGAGGAGGAGGAGGAGGAGGAGGAGAGAGAGGAGGAGGAGGAGGAGGAGGAGAGGAGGAGGAGGAGGGGAGGAGGAGGAGGAGGAAGGAGGAGGAGGAGGAGAGGAGGAGGAGGGAGGAGGAGAGGAGGAGGAAGGAGGAGGAGGAGGAGGAGGAGGAGGAGGAGGAGGAGGAGGAGGAGGAGGAGGAGGAGGAGGAGGAGAGCGGCGCAGGCCCGCGAGGCCCCGGCGTCGCACGCCGCCCTCTCACTCCTGCGGGGAGCGGGGCGCTCCCTCTGCCAAGGCCTCGGCCCGTCCTGGCGGGTGTGGGGGGGGGGGCAGGGCCCCCCCCAAAACTCCGAGGGGCGGGAGGGGGGCGAGGGTGGAGGGAGATGCTCGTGGCGGTCACGGCGCGGCTGCCTGCCCCCCACCTGCCTCCTCCCTCTTCTTAGTTTCCTCCTCCCTGCTCCTCCTCCTCCTCCTCCTCCTCCTCCTCCTCCTCCTCCTCCTCCTCCTCATCCTCCTCCTCCTCCTTTCTGCCCTCCTCCTTCCCCCCTCCTGTTTGCTCCCTCCACTCTCCTCCCTTCCTCCTCCTCCTCCTGGCTCTTGTCCTCCTCTCTCCTCCTCCTGCTCCTTGCATCCTCCTCCTCTCCTCCTCCTCCTCCTCCTCCTCCTCCTCCTACCCTCTTCTGTCTGTCGACTGCTTCTTTCCTCTTCGTCCTCCTCCATCCTTCTCTCTTCTGCCCCTCCACCTCGTACATATTCCCTCTTCTCCGTCCTCATGCCTCCTCCCTTGTCTCTCTTTCTTTACCCACGCTTAGAGCACAGTGGTCCTCCCTCCTCCTTTCCCCTCTCTGCCTCCTTCCTCCTGTGTGCTTTGTCCTTCGTGCTTCGTTTGCGTTTCCCTTCCTTGAGGCCTTCGTCCTTCGGCCTTCGCAAATCATTTCTTCTCAATCCTTCCTGCTGCTGATGCTCCTCCTCCTCCTCCTCCTCCTCCTCCTCCTCCTCCTCCTCCTCTTCCTCCTCCACCCATGCCATTCTCCTTGCCCTGCCCGGTTTTCCAATTTTGCACTTTGCGGATTCTCTGTGGGCATCGAAGCATAGACATGACCGCACAGACGGTCCTCAAGCAAGCACCAGTCGCGTCCCAGACGTCCGAATAATGCAATCATGCCCCGTTTGCGTATTACTTACTGCCGTACACACATGCAACTGCCTTCGGCCGACCAGGACATCTTCGGACCCACCGAATTTTACGCGTGTCCCAGCGTGTCGTACCCGCTGTGCGGCCGGCTGGGCGGCCCAAGATGGCCCCAAGATGTCCCACGATGGTCCCAAGACGGCCCAAGATGCTCCCAAGACGGTCCCAGAGGCCTCCAAGAGGCAGGCCTCCCAAGAGGGCCCCACGAAGCAAAAATCAAAGATTTCCGTGACGTTTTTTTTGGGGGGGGGCCTTCTCGCCTTTTCGGCTTTCCGACGCTCCGAGACGGACCCAGAGATTCCCAAGATCGCCCAACGAGGGCCCTAGAAGGAAGCCCCCATGACGGCCCAAGAGGACCCCAAGACGGCCCCAAGACGGCCGAAGAGGGCCCCAAGACGGTTCAAGAGGCGCCCCAGACGGCCCGAAAGGGCCCTAGAGGCCCAAGAGGAAGTCCACGAACCGAAAACTCTATCTTTCCGCCCCGAGAGGGCCCCAGTAGGCCCCAAGGTGGTCCCCAGCTGCCCCAAGAGGCCCCCAAGATGCCAAGGAGACCTCCAAGATACCCAACATATTGTTTCCAAGAGGCCCTTAGGAGACCCCGAAGAGGCCCCAAGGAGACCCCCAAGATCCCCCCAAGAGGCCCTAAGGAGACCCCCAATACGCCCCAAGGAGACCCCCGGGCAGCCGCCCGCACTAGTAATAGGGGGGCCGGCGGCAGAGGACGAAGCCCTTGAGATATCAGATGCGCCTAACTGCTGAGAGCAGAGCATCCGGGCTTCGTAAACGGGGGTTTAGCTAAGCGGGGGCATACAGTCGGGGCGTTGACCTAAGGAACCCTAAATAAGGAACGAGGCCCCTTTTTCCCATCAGTGAGGGTTCGATTTCCCATCGAAAACCTGAGGAAAACCTAGGGCAAGCTGTGAAACAATCAAGGAACACCGAGCCCGTCCCCAACGAAAAGGGTTCCTTCTTCAGCGCCCCGACTGTAACCAAACGTGGAAATCGGCGTTCCCTGTTCCCCCGTTTGCTGTGCCCCCGTCTCTGGCGCCGTGAAAGCAGAGCAGCTGTCCTCGCCCCGGAGGGCGGCCCGAAGACTGGT